CCTGGAGGGTAAGCGTTGACTCCCCAGCCAGAGAGCATGCGGGAGTAGAACCACAGATTTGGGCCTATGAGCCCTCTTGCCACCATTTTCGCCAAACCCTCGTTGTATAGATAACCTGAGGCAAGGTGTTTTCCAGTTAATTCAGGAACAGAGCTCAGGCTGTAACCAGGGTTTCCTCATCCTGGGTCTGATCACTTCCTTTGGCCATCCTGTGGTGGCTGATGCTGTGGGTCCTTGAGGAAGGAGCATGTGACAAGCCTTGAGGAACAGACCCCTGTCTGGCTCCCAGAACAGCACCAGGCACTGAGGCTGGCAGTGCCTGGGCTGGGTGGCCTTGCCCAGTGCTGAGTGCAATCTCGCCCTGCCTGGCCCAGCCCAGCCCAGGTTCTGACAGGTGGGGAAAAGCAGAGGAACTGGTCTTCCAGCTCTGTGGCTCCACACCCAGCCCTGCGCTGAGCCTGTTCGGAGACTAGTCCTGGCACGTGGGCCACCGAGGCAGGCGCCAGATCCGTGAGAGGAGTAGGCTTGGGGGTGCTGGTGGAAACACTGACCTGGCTTGGGCATTGGGGCTGGCACTGGGCTGCTGAGATTTCCCTCTCTCAACAAAACACCCCTGGCCACTGGGTACTCCAACAGGCAGGGGCAGGGCTAAAAGGCTTGTGCTGTGACTTTGATCTCGATTTCCCATCTGGGAAGCCCTGACATTGCACTGAAGGGAAAATGCTACTGGAAAGATGTCTTTAAAGTCAAGCACTATGCCTGCTGTCCCTCAAGCTGAGCCCCTGTGCTGGAACCCCCACTCCCTACCCCTCCACCTCTGAGGCAAAGTGTCAGAGTGGGAACTACCAAGAGATGTGTAGAGGGTGCTATGTGGTGGGGAGCCCAGCAGTGCCTCCAGGGCTGAAGGCCACAGGAACCTCCTGGCCTGCCTGCTTGGTCCCCTCCCACCCTGGGCCGGCTGTCACTCCCTGCCTGTCTTGCCCCGGCAGGTCCCAGCTTGCCTTGTTCTCTGTGGAGAGTCAGGGAGCTGATAAAATATGGTGCCTGTCCCCAGAAATGCTGATGCTGCCTGGAGGCACCTGGGGGCTCCTCCCTCCTGGGAGTGGCTCTGGCAGGGAGAGTTCAGGGTCTTGAGGCCCAGCCTGGAGCTCTGTGGCCTCAGCAGCCCTCCCTGCCAGGATGTGGAGTTAGGAAATAAGCCTTTGGAGAGCAGTGATGGGTCTGCCACCACCTGCGCATCCAGGGGCAGGTGGGGCCCCAGTATCTCCTGGGCCCTCCTCCCATCCACCTCCTGCATGGGTCTGTGGCCTCCTTATCACCGTGCGCCCCCAGCCTAGACTGTCAGAACCATAAGGGAGTTTAGGATTATCCAGCCTAGCCGCTTCCATTGTCTGGGTGGGGGAAGGTCCAGAGAGAGACAGAGAGCTGCCCAGGTCACCCAGCGTAGGGGCTGAGGAACAGGATTTCCCCTTTCCCTGCGACCCTTGGTCTGACCTGCCTGGTCAGTTAGTGTTTAATCAGGACCAATGAACAAGGTTGAGTGGCTCCCTACAGAGGGAAAGTGGTCACAGACCCACACTGCAGGGCAGCAGGGCCCTCAGGAGGCTGCAGGGTGGGAATGGGAGTGGGTGTTTTGCAGCATTCCCTGGCACCCCTAAAATTGTACACTGAGGCCCTGCAGCCCATGCTTCCCACTTGGCCTTCACCCCTAGGCTCACCCTGGGCAGCTCTCCCCTGCTGGGTCAGGCCAGTAGAGGGAAGGTGGAGGGCTGGGTCCTCCTAGGCTGGCTTTAGGCAGACGCTCCTGCTTTTCCTTATGACCTGCTGCTGGCAGTGCCAGAATCAAAGGGTAATGGGGGAAAGTGTTTCCTGCCTCACAGCCTCCTTCCTGCTGGGCCAAAGCCCTGACCCCAGAACTCCTGGAGCCCAAGAGCCCAGGGTGGCTAAATGCAGATGGGTTCACCATTCTCTTACTCCCCGTCCCTTAGACTTCATGTGTCCCCAACTTCAGATGAGTCAAACCTTCTGGCTTTGGGCTTTCAAATCAATGTCTGCCTTGTGGGTAAGGAAGGGGCAGGGTGGGTGGCCCTTGCTCTGAGCAAACAATGCGCAGGCACCTGGTCTGTGCTTACCACAGGTTGTCGATCTGTTACATAGACAGCTCATTTTCCTGAGACTTCTAGAGAGTAAAGGCTGGCTTGCTTTCTTCCTGCCCAGGCAGCAAGAGGGTTGTGAACTGAGCCCATCGGTCCTGACAGGGCCAGCGTGTGGCAGACTGTTCCCACGGCAGGCCTGGGAGATGAAACCAGAAGTCCCACCAAAAACTTTAGACTTAGCTGGTTCTTTGGTAACCCAAGTTCAAACTCAGCAATTTCTGAGTTCTCAGCCCCCTCCTCCCCAGGGTGCCGAAACCTCCCATTTCCTTTTCCGAGGTGCTGTCACAGAAGGTCCAAGTTGGAGGAAGTTTGGGAAGTCACTAGCCTGTATCCAGAGATGGGGGAGAGGTTCCTTGAGGCCAGGGAGTTGGTTTCAGTGGAGAAAGCTTTTGCTTAAGAGTTTGTTGTGTAAACAAGATCACAGAGGGATAAGCAGGTGGAGCTAAGGGAACAAATTGCTTTTAGGAACTGGGCAGACCTAAAGTCTTACCTAGTCGGGGAGAAGCCCAGCTCTTGGGAAACTGTTGACTGGTTTGGGCTTTTCTGTGTAGGTGAGGGGTCAGCCTCCCTGCTGTTCGCCTGGGTCTGAGCAGGCTGTGTCTTCAAGGTTGTACGTGGGCCCCAGTGTGCATCCTCTCTACAAGCTTCAGTTACCTCATCTGTCCAGTAGAACCTGGATCTGATGACTCTGGCTTCTCCTGGAAAGTTCAATACTCTTTACAACACAGTAGAGGCTCGTGTGGTCAAGCCCCCATTCCCAGCCCCAGTTCGAGCTTTCTCCCTAAGGAAAGGTGTCCATGTAGCAGGATAGGGCAAGGTGGAGGCCTTGGGCCAAGGTGAAGCTATGATCTCAGTGAGTGTGGGTGGGGGGTACCCTCTCTGTGCCTATTTGGTGGGTGGCATTCTTTGCTGCAGATGGGCACAGTCTTGGAGGAGGCTAGAGGCAGCATCAAAGCTCTGTGGAAGCATCACAAGTATTTGAAGCACCAGGGGAGGGTATGGATAGGATGTGGCCTGATATGGGGGAGGGATGAACTATGACTATTTATTCTAGATGGGTCATGGTGGGCTGCAACTGTTCACTGTAGATGGGCCATGAAAGGCCCTTCTAGGGTCAAAACCTTACTTAGGAGGAAAGGGAGGGAACAGTTTTGCTTTTGTACTTTCAAAGGAAGTTCAGTGTTATTTCTAGTCTTGCAGTTTCTACACGTGTCTGAAGTGTCCCTCAGACCTGGGCCCCTGTAGAGATACAGCCTCCATCTGGTCCTACTCTATTGTAGGGCTGCCTCATGAGGCCAAAGGTCATGGCTAGCCCTCCCTTCTCTACTCTACTCAAGAGTAAGGCCCACCAGCCCGTGGCCAGGGCTTGGCAAGGCCTCTTGGGCTGAGGTGGCCCTGTTTCCTTAGAGCCCAGCCTTAGGGAGGCCCTTCCCTCAGTCTATGCAGAGGCTGGTGGTGAGCTGGCACCCTCCTGCCCCTTCTTCTCATGAGACCCCGTCCTCTTCCATCCCACCCTTTCCTCAGGGCTGTTGGCATCTGGGTTGCATGTGCCCCAGAGTCCCTCTTCCCTAGGCTGAGTAGCTTCCACTCCCTTAATTAGAGCAATGGCCTCTATTTGTGGCATTTACTATGTGCCAGGCTCTGTTAGGTTCTTTACTTGTGTAACTTAGTGGAATTTTTGCACTGGTCTTGGAATGTAGGTGTTGCTATTATCCTCAATTTGTAGACAAGGAGACTGAGGCCAAAAGTTTACTGTCATCCCCAGGATCACATGACTAGTCAGTGGCAGAGGTCAGGGGTGTCTAAAGCCTGTGTGTTGATCTGTGTTCTGCTTCTTTATTTATTCTTTGTTCTGGTCTCTAACATTGGGGCCCTCCAAGGATTGGCAGCATAGCAGGTGGGGTTGCTTGGGTCAAAGCCTTGCTGCTGAATAGAACTCTTAATGCACCTTTCCTGACACTGGATGCCCGGTGGAAAGGTGGGTCCTCCTTTCCCCTCTTGCTGTCCTGGGACCAGGGTTGGCGCAGAGGTGGTCCTGACTTTCTCCCTGCATCCCAGGGTTTCTGTACACTGTACATTCCATCTCCTCGGGCTCTGCCTCAGGAATGGGGCATAGGTTTTCACTCAGCCATTTGGAGCTGGCCCAGGGAGGTGGCATTCCTGGAGCTGCCGTTTGCAAACAGGACCCCTCCCAGGTCCACAGCCTGTTTCCTGGAGCCTTCTCAGTACAGAGAGCTTTCCAGATGAGCCTCGTGACTACCCTATGGTAGACAATATTCTGACCAGAGGCTCTGAACCCGGTCCTTACTGTAGAGGGGAGCCTGGGCCAGGTGTGGTGAAGAGCAGCATGGCCAGGGCTGGGGCTGCCCTGTGTGGGCAGAGCGGTCCCTAGTGTCCATACCTGGAGTCTAATATGCTTGGAGGCATCCTTTCTAGATTCAGGTTGTTATGGGATTGTCCTTAGGGTTCTTGGAAGCCCCCTAGAGGGGCAGTGTCAACAATCTTGGCCCCTAGACCTCTGTGGCCACCAGCCCCCAAGACTTGATCCTCAGTGGTGGGTGAACTTATGGGGTCCCCAAGGCCCACAGCCTGTGCTCCTAGTAGTAGCATCTGCCCTAAAGTTTTGGGGCTCCCTTACTAACTGAGTTCGGTGACGGCCCTGCACTGAGCACCAAGGTATAGCGGCCCAAAGGGCTGCTCAGAACCACATGAGAGGGCTTCTTACTTGGCACCTGGGTTGTGCAGGCTGGGAGGTGCTCATCGGCTATCTCTGGTGCTCACTGGCTGTCAACAGTAGGGCGCTGGCCTGGACTCTACTCACACCTTTTTCTGATCCTTTTCCAGCAAATTATGGCCACAAATGTGCCCCCTGAAGATCAGGATGGTTCTGGAGATGACTCTGACAACTTTTCTGGCTCAGGTGCAGGTAAGGCTCACATAGGCTGTGCTGGGGCAGTGGAAAAGGTGCTGGTGCTTATTGAGTACACACACATACACACACATACACACATACACACACACCCCGGTACCTGTCCTTGCCCAGCTGGGTCTGAAGAGGGTTGCTGAGGAAAAGCATGGATCTGTGCTGTGCTGAGCAGCCTGTTATGGAGAAAACGTGCGGGGGATGAAGTGGAAGCCCCGGGATCCTGCTGCACACAGGCTTGTGCTCCCCTCTTCACTCTCTAGGCAACCACAGAACCCACCTTGGGAAGGTTATTTGACTTCTGGAAGCCATGTTTTCTCATCTGTGAAATGGGAATAGTACTTTGACCTGATAAGTTTCTTTCGAGCTGTGACGCAGCACAGGGCCTGCTGGGCGGTAGCTTTTCCATCCATGTTCCCTTCCTAATTTTCTCTTTTCGTGAGCAAGAGAAATTTCTGAGCTGGAGATAGTCAGGGAGGACTGTCAAAAGAGGTGGCTTCTGAGGGAACCTTAGAAGAGGGATGAGAGCTGAGGAAGACACACAGGCCATCCTTGGGGAGGTTGGCATCTATTTTTGGGAGCAGGAGCCTTTCTGGGGAGCGGGCAGGTGGGACAGGGAGGGGCCAGAGAGGTGTGTACACTGGGGGTAAGGTAGTGAGCCTCTGAAGGATGCCACCCCCCAACCCTCACCATGGCTGCAGGAAAGCTTCTTCCCTGATGGCCTTGTACCTTTCTCAGGGCTTCCGAGACCAAGCTGCCCCAGGCACATGGAGCAGGAAGAGGTGGCTCTCCTTGTCCATTTTCAAGTGGAGTTTGGCCTCAGCTCCACCCAGGGCACAGCTTCTTAGGGGAGGGAGGATTGCTGTCCTTGCTGGTCTGGGTGCTCTGGGGCCTCCTCCCAACCAATACACTCTGCTACTGGCCCTACAGGTGCTTCTCAAGATATCACCTTAACGCAGCAGACCCCCTCCACCGGGAAAGACATGTGGCTCCTGACAACCACATCGACAGCTCCAGAGCCCACTGGCTTGGAGCCCATAGCAACCTCCACCTCCATCCTGCTGCCTGGAGTGGGGCCCGAGGAGAAAGAGGCTATAGTCCTGGCAGAAGCAGAGCCTGGCCTCACTGGCCAGGAGCAGGAGGCCACCCTCCCACCCAAGGAGACCACGCAGTTCTCAACCACCCATCGGGCCACAACAGCCAGAGCCACCACAGCCCAGGCACCTGTCACCTCCCACTTCCATAGGGAAATGCAGCCTGACCACCACGAGACCTCAGCTTCTGCAGGACCTGGCCAAGCGGACCCTTACATTCCCAGTGTAGAGGACAGAGGTCGTTCTGCCACTGAGAGGGCTCCTGAGGATGGAGTTTCCAGTCAGTTCCCAGGGGGAGAGGGCTCAGGGGAGCAGGTAAGCAGCCTCTGCCTTTCTTGAGACTTTGGGTGGCCCCTAGTGCCTGGCACACAGTAAGACCAACATCCTGAGCCCAGCGAGCATAGGGGCCCACCTTCCTCTGCCCGCAGGGCCTCCCCTAGAGCAGGACAAACCACTCATAAGGTCAGAGCAAAAGAGTCCTTAAAGATCACCAAAGAGGGCTTCTGAAACTAACTCAGTCCCTGCTGCGAGAATGAAAATTCTACTAAGTTTTATTTTTTATCTTGTAGCATCATGGGGATTTTGCACATTACACTAAAATAAGTCTTCTTATTTTTACACAAAGATGTGTGCTTTGTATACAAACAAGTTTTTGAGATATCTGTGTCATGGCCCAGCCAGGGTCTGTTGTGATGTGGCACAAGGGCTGGGCTTTGGGTCCCAGAGGTGGGGTCTAGGTGTGAGTGGCAGGGGTGATCAGAGTCGGGCACTGGCCATGGGGCTGGATGCTGCTGCTGGCTGTGGCCTGGCCCCCCTGACCTGTCCTGCCTTCCACAGGACTTCACCTTTGAAACTTCTGCAGAGAACACAGCTGTGGTGACTGAGAAGGCTGTGGAACCTGACCACAGGAATCAGTTCCCAGAGAAGGAAGGGGCCACGGGGGCCTCTCAGAGTCTCCTGGACAGGAAGGAGGTACTGGGAGGTGAGTTGGGTCTCAAGTGGGTGGTTGGGGGATGAGCTGCTGCTCTGAGGTGGGAGGGGCTGTTTTTAGCCCTGGGGTTGAGAGCTGATCACAGCCAAGGCCACCTCTAGGGCTGCCCAGTAGGGAGGGACTGTACATGGCCCCAGGAGTCATGAGCTGAGCAACTCCCTTTCTGCCCGCCCTAGGGGTCATTGCTGGAGGCCTGGTGGGGCTTATCTTCGCTGTGTGCCTGGTGGGCTTTGTCCTATACCGCATGAAGAAGAAGGATGAGGGCAGCTACTCCCTGGAGGAGCCAAAGCAAGCCAACGGCGGTGCCTACCAGAAGCCCACCAAGCAGGAGGAGTTCTACGCCTGACAGGGGCACCGTCCTCCCCCTCTCCCACCACTCACTAGGCCCCCACTTTTCTCTTCTGTGAAGAACTGCAGGCCCTGGCCCCCTGCTGCCACGCCACCTTCCCAGCACTCCGGCCCGCCGGCTGCTCTCTGCCCACGGAGTCCTGGGGTGCACGGGGAGCTCCACTCTGCTTCTCTGACTTCTGCCTGCAGACTTGGGGCACAGAGGGTTTCTTGCATATGATCTTGCTACCATAGCTGGCGCCTGGCGTCATACTGTTCTGACTTGGTTTCCCCTAAGTGGAGCAGCTCCTCCCCAGGCCCAGCTCTGGAGAGAAAGGGGACCCAACTGAGTTGGATCTGGATGGCCCTCTGTGGGTGGCGGCTTTGGGCTAATACATCTAGAGCACTTACTGGTAGATCCAACAGTCTGGGGGGTCTTTGACCACTGAGTGGCTGGAGAGGGCAGTTCAGGGCTTCTTCAGAGTTCATGCTGTTTCATGGGGAAGTTGAATTTAGGTATCAATTTGGTTTTGCACATGTTCCCTCTGGTTTCTTTGTTCATAGCCCCAGTAGACCTTTGTTACTTCTGAGGTAAGTTGACTTGGTATCCCCCTTCTTGCTTCCCTAATCTATAGTCCGGAGACAGCATCAGGGTTAAGAAGGTTTTTTTTTTTTTTTTTTTTTAAACTAGGAGAACCAAATCTGGAAGCCAAAATGTAGGCTTAGTTTGTGTGTTGTCTTGGAGTTTGTCACTCATGTGTGCAACAGGGTATGGACTGTCTCTGTCTGGTGGCCCCATTTTGGGTGGCCTATTGGTGGGCTGGCCAGTCCCTACTGCCATGGGGCCACCCCTACTTTTGAGCAGTGGTGCCTGTGACCTTGAGCTCATGGCCACACTGTGGCTTGTGCTGCCGTGACATTGGAGGAGCCCGTGTGAAGTGAATGGTGGAGGCACATGCTGGGTATGGAGAAAGGACCTCAGAGTGGGTGAGTGGGTAGCAGTGGCCCAGAGACTCTCTTGCAGACCTTGCCCCTCCTGCCTTGAGCACCCTATCTGGGGGATGCTTCCTGTTGAAAGTTGACAAGAGGTGTCTTGGGCACAGCTAACTCTATGCCTCCATCAAGGACCAGGTTCACCCTTAGCTCCTGTGGCCCTGCCCTGGGCTGGAATCAGGAATGTTTTCCAAAGAGTAATCGTCTTTTGCTTTGGCAAAACTCTACTTAATCCAATGGGTTTTTCCCTGTACAGTAGATTTTCCAAATGTAATAAACTTTAATATAAAGTAGCCCTGTGATCTCTACCGCCTTCTTCTTCTTTCCTCTGTGCTTTGTGTAGACGTGACCAGACTTTTCTGCAAACACCAACGTATTGGGAAACTTGGCTGGCATCTCTGTGCCTTCATTTTTCCCAGGTGGAGGGATTCTGAGTCCAGAGTCCCTCTGGTTTATTTGTCTTGTTTTGACTGAAATTCTTCTGGAGGTTGGTAGGTTCAGCCAAGGCTTTATAAGGCCCGATTTCAACTTCTGTGTTGCTGAGCTTGAAACCCCATCTTCTAAATGGCTAAAGAAGGTGGGTGGCTCTGCACAGCTTGACCTGAGGCTGCTGGCCCGGATGGAGATGTGGAACCGAGGCCTGCCTCACACACACTTTGGACAGCACACTTCCTCTGGGACCAGAGGCCTCCAACCCAGGGCTCCCGGGTACTCCTGCACTTGCTTATTTAATTTGACAATGTTCCAGCGGCTCTGTTGGCCACTCCAAGAGGTGGGCTGGTCTGTGGATCAGAGACATACCGCCAAACGGGGGCAACTATGCCCTTTGTTCAATACTGGGACTTTCTGCCCGGAGTGTATGACTGGACATGGCTTGGGGGGGAGGGGTTTGTGACCATGCTCATCTAGTGGTCTGTGGGACGGCGCCCCGGCCTTTGGCTGGGCCCATTCGTGTAACTGCAATAAATGGTACTTGTCATTTTGGGCAATGGCTGCTGTGTTGGTGATTGAGTCTCTTCTTGACCTGGGGGTGTCCTGCCCTATCACCTTTGGGGGTGGGAGCCTATATCAGTCTCTTCTTCGAGGTCAGGAGGGGCTGATTCCAAGTTTGCTATCCTGGTTGCTCCTCGTGTGATTCCTAAAAACTCACTAGCAAATAGCCTTAAGTGCCAAAGATCTTAAAAGGTCATCTGCACATGAGGGAACGTAGCAGTGGGCGAGTTGGGGGCTGAGGAAGCACAGGCACTGCACTGCAGGGGCATCTAGTGACACCCCCACCCTACTCAGTTTCCACCCATGGCATGGCCTGCTGTGTGTGGGAGTGTGTGCTTGCCTGTTGCGTGTGTATGCAGGGCTTACTGGATTTGCCCACTGTCTGGCCCTGGTGCAGGTCAGCCCCTGACTCTAGCCCCCAGGCATGTCTTAGGCAGTAAGAGCAGGAGGGCCCATTCCATTCTGGCCTCTGCACCTGCTGATAGGGCAGGGATAGCAGGCTCCAGGCAGCTTTATAGGATGGAGAATTGTACTCCTCTCTGCCACATTGTGCTCCAAAGGACCTGGAGGCAGGCATGAAGTCCATAAGGTCATTCATTCACTCAACAAACTGAAAACACTCAGTGCCTATTTTCTTTTCTTTTCTTTTTTTTTTTTTTTT